TCGCCGCAACGGACACACCTTGGTATGTAGGAGCAATATTTTCTTGAGTGGCCATAGTCAGTGAGTTTAATAATTAATTTTAAGTTATATATTTAATAATAATAATAATACATTTGTAATGTACAATTCATTATTAAGTATTTGAATATCATAGTTAAAAAATTAAATTGCTTTTTATTAGTAATGGGTCGAACTGTTCGGTTCGAAATTCAAACTCGGCATGAAAAAAAATCGAACCGAACTATCAAGCATTTTTTACTGTTCGAAAATCGAACTTGAAAATATTTGTCGAACTAGACTTACTGGCCATGATAGTTCGAAAACCAAATATTTGTACAATCCTTCAAAATGCTATTATTATAATAATAATGTTATTTTTCCAGTGACATGTTACACATCCACCCTCCGCCGACCAAAACATTAATTACTTGTTTATCGACAATAGAGGCAGTGTATCTACATACATAAATTAGCTATTTTTATTTTTATCATATTTATTGTAGAGGTTAAAATCTATTTTGGGTAAATCCATGGTAATATTCCAATACCACGACTGTGCTGTTAATAAAAACATGTTTACAACTTACGTCTTTGATTATAAATTTAACTAATCATTCCATATTTTTGAATTATAGTTATTATTACTATTTTTTTTATATATTATTAAAATGTACTGATTGTATTGTCATATTACACTCAATACTCAATACTCAATGATTATTTTATAAGCTAAAAGATAACACGAGAAAGCATAGTACTGGTTTTGAAAAATAATAATAATAGTAAGACACTATCTAAAATTTAAATGTATTGTAAATAATACAATTGCTTAGACTTAAAAGTTAAAATGTAGAATAGGTAATACGAAAACTTAAAATACAATAATAATTAATAATTATGGTTGATTTAATTTGTAGGTAGGTATAATGTATAATGTACATGATAAAAAGTATTGAGTTCGAGTTTCAGTTCGACTTAAAACCATAATAGGTTCGGTTCGTTTCGGTTCGATAGAAAATATGAAGGTTCGGTTTAGTTCGAGTTCGAAAAAATAATTTAAAGTTCGGTTCAAGTTCGGTTCGATTTAAAAAATCAGGGTTCGACCCATCACTACTTTTTATATATGTACATGCTGTATCGGATTTTCCCCATGATAATAACTTTCTAAATATTTGATTTATTTCATTGTAGGGGCCATATGAAAAACATAATATCGAATTTGTATTTTCATTCCTTGTTGGCTTGGAAAATAAATTTTTTCATTTTTATAAAATTTCAAAATTGTAATTTAGTGAAACAAGTTTTTATTTCTATTTTAAAATCACAACTGAAAATCCAATTATTAGTTTTCTAATTATAACAAATATGAGTTTTGTAAAAAAGAAATGTCTATAGATATAATAGTTATTGCAATAAATTAGTACAAATTAAATTATTTTTATTTTTTTATGGTCACATTGGTTTGTTTACAATTACAC